CACAAACTTCTGCCCCACATTCTAATACTGCATTTTTTAAACTATTCCAACCCTCTTCAACCCCCCCACTATTCATACCTGCACCAGCCCCCCTTTCTGCCAATAGTTGCTTATATTTCACCCGAACTTCCTTCTCCCTTAGTTTATACACTTTCACCTCCCTCTTACTTGTTGTTGCCATTTTCCTCTTATCCCATCTACCTGTTACTCTAACTGTAGCTACAGCTAGATAATGATCTGATATATCAGTTGCCCCTCTATAAACGTGTACATCCTGGAGCCTACCCATCAACCATTCATCCACCAATACATAATCTAACAAACTACTTTCATTACGTGCTACATCATACCTTGTATATTTATTTTTCCTCTTTTTCATAAAATATGTATTACTATTACTAGTAGGCTGGTAGACAGCAACCACCCAGGGAAGTACTACCGTCCTGCCAGATGACTGTGAAACAAAAACCTGTAACTGTTTTGCATATGGTAGGATTGCTGGTTTCTTTTTCTGTCTCATAAACACGCTAGATACCAGGGATATCTTGCTACTCCTACTTACACTTTGGTCACACTTCACAGACACGCACATGCATATATATATATACATACATCTAGGTTTTTCTCCTTTTTCTAAATAGCTCTTGTTCTTTTTATTTCTTCTATTGTCCATGGGGAAGTGGAAAAGAATCTTCCTCCGTAAGCCATGCGTGTCGTATGAGGCGACTAAAACTGCCGGAGCAATGGGCTAGTAACCCCTTCTCCTGTATACATTACTAAAAAAGAGAAGAAGAAAAACTTTATAAAACTGGGATGCTTAAATGGGCGTGGATGTAGTGCGAATGACAAAAACAGATGATTGCTGATGTTATGAATGAAAACAAGTTGGATGTCCTGGCTCTAAGCGAAACAAAGCTGAAGGGGGTGGGAGAGTTTCAGGGGGGGAAAAAAATGGGAAAAAATCTGGAGTATCTGAGAGAGTTAGAGCAAAGGAAGGGGTAGCAGTAATGTTAAATGATCAGTTAGGAGGAGAAAAGAGAATATGAATGTGTAAATTCAAGAATTATGTGGATTAAAAAAAGGGTTTTGGATGCGAGAAGTGGGTCATAATAACGTGTATGCACCTGGAGAAAGAGGAATGCAGAGGAAGAGAGAGATTTTGGGAGGATGTTAAGTGAATGTATAGGAGCCTTGAACCAAGTGAGAGAGAAATTGTGGTAGGGGACCTGAATGCAAAGTAGGAGAAACTTTTAGAGAGGGTGTGGTAGGTAAGTTTGGGGTGCCAGGTGTAAATGATAATGGGAGCCCTTTGATTGAACTTTGTATAGAAAGGGGTTTAGTTATAGGTAATACATATTTTAAGAAAAAGAGGAATAAATAAGTATACACGATATGATGTAGGGCGAAATGACAGTAGTTTGTTGGATTATGTATTGGTAATAAAAGACTGTTGAGTAGACTTCAGGATGTACATGTTTATAGAGGGACCACAGATATATCAGATCACTTTCTAGTTTGTAGCTACACTGAGAGTAAAAGGTAGATTGGGATACAAGGAAATAGAAGCATCAGGGAAGAGAGAGGTGAAGGTTTATAAACTAAAAGAGGAGGCAGTTAGGGTAAGATATAAACAGCTATTGGAGGATAGATGGGCTAATGAGAGCATGGGCAAGGGGGTTAAAGAAGGTATGGGTAGGTTTAAAAATGTAGTTTTAGATGTTCCAGCAGAAGTTTGTGGTTACAGGAAAGTGGGTGGGGGAGGGAAGAGGAGCGATTGGTGGAATGATGTGTAAAGAGAGTAGTAAGGGAGAAAAAGTTAGCATATGAGAAGTTTTTACAAAGTAGAAGTGATGCAAGGGGGGAAGAGTATATGGAGAAAAAGAGAGAGGTTAAGAGAGTGGTGAAGCAATGTAAAAAGAGAGCAAATGAGAGAATGGGTGGATGTTATAAAACAAATTTTGTTGAAAATAAGAAAAAGGTTTTGGAGTGAGATTAACAAGTTAAGAAAGCCTAGAGAACAAATGGATTTGTCAGTTAAAAATGGAGAGGGAGTTATTAAATGGAGAGTTAGAGGTATTGGGAAATGGAGGAATATTTTGAGGAATTGTTAAATGTTATGAAGATAGGGAAGCTGTGATTTCGTGTATAGGGGAAGGGGGAATAACATCTTGTAGGATGAGGAAGAGCCAGTTGTGAGTGTGGGGGAAGTTCGTGAGGGAGTAGGTAAAATGAAAGGGGGGAAGGGAGCCGGGATTGATGGGATAAAGATAGAAATGTTAAAAGCAGGTGGGGATATAGTTTTTTGGGGTGGTTTTGGGGCAATTATTTAATAAATGTATGGAAGAGGGTAAGGTACCTAGGGATTGGCAGAGAGCATGCATAGTCCTTTGTATAAAGGCAAAGGGGATAAAAGAGATGCAAAAATTATAGGGGGATAAATCTGTTGAGTGACCTGGTAAAGTGTAAAGGTAAGTTATAATTGAAAGAATTAAGAGTAAGACGGGGAATAGGATAGCAGATGAACAAGGAGGCTTTAGGGAAAGGGAGGGGGTGGGGTGGACCAGGTGTTTACAGTGAAACATATAAGTGAACAGTATTTAGATAAGGCTAAAGAGGTCTTTGTGGCATTTATGGGTTTGGAAAAGGCGTATGACAGGTGGATAGGGGGGGGAATGTGGCAGATGTTGCAAGTGTATGGTGTAGGAGGTAGGTTACTGAAAGGCAGTGAAGAGTTTTTACGAGGATAGTGAGGCTCAAGTTAGATATGTAGGAAAAAAGGGAAATTTTTTCCCATAAAATAGGCCTTAGACAAGGATGTGTGATGTCACCGTGGTTGTTTAATAATTTATAGATGGGGGTTTTAAGAGAAGTAAATGCGAGGGTCTTGGGAAAGGCGTGGAGTTAAAAGATAAAAAAATCACACACAAAGTGGGAGTTGTCACAGCTGCTCTTTGCTGATGACACTGTGCTCTTGGGAGATTCTGAAGAGAAGCGCAGAGATTGGTGGATGAATTTGGTAGGGTGTGCAAAAAAAGAAAATTAAAGGTGAATACAGGAAAGAGTAAGGTTTATGAGGATAACAAAAAGATTAGGTATGAAAGATTGAATACAGATTGAGGGAGAGAGTATGGAGGAGGTGAACGTATTCAATATTTGGGAGTGGACGTGTCAGCGGATGGGGCTATGAAAGATGAGGTGAATCATAGAATTGATGAGGGAAAAAGAGTGAGTGGTGCACTTAGGATCTGTGGAGACAAAGAACTTTGTCCTTGGAGGCAAAGAGGGGAATGTAAAGAGAGTATAGTTTTTACCAACGCTCTTATATGGTGGAAGCGTGGGTGATGAATGTTGCAGCGAGGAGAAGGCTGGAGGCAGTGGGATGTCATTGTCTGAGGGCAATGTGTGGTGTGAATAATAATGCAGAGAATTCGTAGTTTGGGAAATTAGGAGGAGGTGCGGGATTACCAAAACTGTTTTCCAGAGGCTGAGGAAGGGTTTGTTGAGGTGGTTCGGACATGTAGAGAGAATGGAGCGAAACAGAATGACTTCAAGAGTGTTCAGTCCCGTAGTGGAAGGAAGGTGGGGTAGGGGTCGGCCTAGGAAGGGTTGGAGGGGGGGGGTAAAGGAGGGTGTGGGGGGGTTGGGATTAAAGGGATGGAAAAAAAAAAAAAACAAAAAAAAAAAAAAAAAAAAAAAAAAAAAAAAAACCAAAAAAAAAAAAAAACATGCCGCACTCTAAGGAGGGGGTAATGTTGCAGTTAAAAACTTAGTTTAAAGCACCCTTCTGGAAAAGACATGATGGAGTGAATGATGGTGAAAGTTTTTCTTTTTCGGGCCACCCTGCCTTGGTGGGAATCGGCCAGTGTGATAATAAAAAAATAAAATAATAAATAATATTATGAAACCTCTTTCTACACATAGCTCAATTAAAGGCTCCCCATTTTCATTCCCCTGGCACCCCAAATTTACCTACTGCTCCCTCCACAACATTTTTTCCCACTTTAGCATTAAAATCCCCAACCACAAGTATTCTCACACTTGGTTCAAAACTCCCCACACAATTACTCAACATTTCCCAAAATCAATCTCTCTCTCTCTCTCCTCTATACTTCTCTCTTTCCCAGGTGCATATATGCTTATTATATCCCACTTCTCACATCCAACCTTTATTTTACTCCACATAATCCTTGAATTAATATATTTATAGTCCCTCTTTTCCTGCCATAGCTTATCCTTCAACATTGCTACTCCTTTAGCTGTAACTCTATTAGAAACCCCTGACCTAATCCCATTTATTCCTCTCCACTGTAACTCACCCACTCCCTTCAGCTTTGTTTCACTTAAAGCCACGATATCCAGCTTCTCATTCATAACATCCACAATCATCTCTTTCTTATCATTAGCATAACATCCACGCACATTCAGACTTCCCACTTTGACAGTACAGTATTCTTCTTATTCTTTTTAGTAATTATTACAGGAAAGGGGTTACTAGCCCATTGTTCCCGGCATTTGAGTTGACTTTTACAACACGCATGGCTTACGGAGGAAAGATTCTTATTCCACTTCCCCATGGATATAAAAGGAAATGTAATTAGAACAAGAACTAAGATAAAATCAAAGAAAACTCAAATGAGTGTGTATAAGTAAACATGTACATGTGTGTTTAGTGTGACCTAAGTGTAAGTAGAAGTAGCAAGACATACCTGTAATCTTGCATATTTCTTAGATTATTATGAGATTATCGTTTTGTAAGTTTCTCTTTTTTTTTTTTTTCTTAATTCTTTGACACTGAGAGCAAGTTTATGAGCAGAGGTCTCGACAGTGAAAGGGTTTAGGGAGTTCAGTCTGTTCATAAAGTTTGGCTTATTAGGTGTGTGTTTGTGCAGGGGGGGGGGGGGTGCTTGTTTTTGTTAAATAAAATAAAACCAGATACTGAACAGAGAAAAATTCATCAAAAGATATTTTAATTTTAATAGGTTAGGAATTTCTTTTCCTAGATTATCTTGGAAAATTATGCATTCCCTGGTCTTCTGATGATTGGAACTGACTCACACACTCCAAATGGTGGTGGACTGGGAGGCCTGTGCATTGGAGTTGGAGGAGCTGATGCTGTTGATGTAATGGCCAATATTCCCTGGGAGCTGAAGTGTCCAAAGGTATATTTAGTGATCTTTGAGTCTTATTCGCAATTTTCCTACATATTTGTTTAACATTAATTAACTGATACCTTTAATGCCAATTTGTTTGTGTTTACCAACTTCAAAACTACTTTTAACAATAATGGGACCCTTGCCAAACCCCTTTAATTGACTTTTTTGTAGTGTAATTCTTTAGCTATTTCCCACATTCCAACATTTACATATGTTACTTTTCTAGAAGGATACATTTTTATCTTTCCAGTAATGATCCACCAGCTGACAACTATTATTTGTAAATTCAAAAAGTGGTTCAGCTTGCTGGCTTCTGCTAATGCCTCTGTAGATAAAAGCCATGTTAACATTGAATCTGCATGTGAAACCTCATGGATCTCTTGGCTTCACTCACTAGGTAACAGGCATTCCAAATACCTGACAAGTTTCCTACTCCTTATCTCACCTCTTTTTCTTCTTCATCAACCTCTGAAAGTCCTTATACCACTTTCCCGGTTTTCTACCAACTTTTCCCTTCAAAATGTGTGCACTGAATTTTTTGAAGAGTTATTTGCTGATGATACTGTACTTATGGGAGATTCTAAAGAAAAATTGCAAAGGTTAGTGGATGAGTTTGGGAGTGTGTGTAAAGGTAGAAAGTTGAAAGTGAACATAGAAAAGAGTAAGGTGATGAGGGTATCAAATGATTTGGATAAAGAAAAATTGGATATCAAATTGGGGAGGAGGAGTATGGAAGAAGTGAATGTTTTCAGATTCTTTCAACTTTCTACCTTTATACACGCTCCCAAACTCGTCCACTAACCTTGGCAATTTTTCTTTAGAATCTCCCATAAGCGCAGTATCATTAGCAAAAAGCAACTGTGTCAATTCCCATTTTGCATTTGATTCCCCATAATTTAATCCCACCCCTCTCCTGAACACCCTAGCATTTACTTCTTTCACAACCCCATCTATAAATATATTAAACAACCATGGTGACATTACACATCCCTGTCTAAGACCTACTTTTACCGGGAAGTAGTCTCCCTCTCTTCTACACACCCTAACCTGAGCCTCACTATCCTCATAAAAACTCTTTACAGCATTTAATAACTTCCTATTTTATATACTTGCAACATCTGCCACATTGCTCCCCTATCCACTCTATCATATGCTTTTTCTAAATCCATAAATACAGTGAAAACTTCCCTGCCTTTATCTAAATACTGTTCACATATATGCTTCAATGTAAACACTTGATCTACACATCCCCTACCCACTCTAAAACCTCCTTACTCATCCATAATCCTACATTCTGTCTTGCCTCTAATTCTTTCAATAATAACCCTACCATGCACTTTTCCTGGTATACTCAGTAAACTTATTCCTCTGTAATACTTACAATCTCTTTTGTTCTCCTTCCCTTTATTTAAAGGAATTATACATGCTTTCTGCCAATCCCTAGGTACCTTCCCCTCTTTCAAACATTTATTAAACAAAAATACCAACCACTCCAGCACTATATCCCCCCGGCTTTTAGCATTTCTGTCATGATCCCGTCAGTTCCAGCTGCTTTACCCCCTTTCATTCTACGTAATGCCTCACACACCTCCCCCACACTCGCATCCTGCTCTTCTTCACTCCTAAAAGATGGTGTACCTCCCTGGCCAGTGCATGAAATTACCGCCTCCCTTTTTTGTTGACATTTAAAAGTTCCTCAAAATATTCTCGCCTTCTACCCAAAACCTCCATCTCCCCATCTACTAACTCCCCTTCTGTTTTTAATTGACAAATCCATTCGTTCCCTAGGCTTTCTTAACTTGTTTATCTCGCTCCAAAAATTTTTCATATTTTCTTCAAAATTTCTTGAGTGTCTCTCCCACCCTATCATCATCTCTCCTTTTACACTCTCTCACCACTCTCTTCACCTTTCTTTTACTCTCCATATACTCTGATCTTCTTATAACACTTCTGCTTTGTAAAAACCTCTTTGTAAAATTCTCCATTAAATATCTTCCTCTATTTCATGTGTACTTTGAGCACTTTCAAAATTTTCTCTCTATATAACCTCTTAAAAGAAGTGTTCTTCTCATTAGGTCAACCTCATTGGGAGACTGCTGATGTTAAAAAAAAAATAACCCCCCTTTTTTTCTTTTTTAAGCTGACACCTTTTCTTCCAACAATTATTTGTGCTTCTCACAGCACTGTTTTTGTTTATTCATTTTCACCTCTCTGTTAACTGACACTTCTAACATACAGTATAAAACTTTAATACTGATACTAATATAAAATAAATGTGCTGCAAATTGTTAGTAATATTGTATTGACTTCAGATTATTAATATTGTAGATTTCTAACTAATTTTTGCTCTTCATTTGCAGGTGATTGGTGTGAAACTTACAGGTAAACTGAGTGGCTGGACATCACCAAAAGATGTCATTCTTAAGGTTGCTGGTATTCTGACTGTTAAAGGTGGAACAGGAGCTATTATTGAGTACTTTGGGCCTGGTGTTGATTCCATTTCTTGCACAGGCATGGCAACCATTTGCAATATGGGCGCTGAAATTGGTAAGTTTGGTTTACGTAGGTAATGCATAAAATTTATAACCTTCCATTCCATGAGCTTAGAATAATTAAATGTGTTGAAAAAACTGGCAGGTTTCTAACTAAAGATTTTGGTGTTCGGACCAAGGTTCCTCATTTTAAAATAGGGGTGCTATGCAAAAAAAAGTTGTTTGGTATACACAAGAAGTTGCATAAATCTAGGTGGAAGGAAGGAGGGGTAGTAATTATTCTAGGAAAGTTTGGAGGGAGGGGGATGAAGGAGATTTTTAGTTCTTGGGTAGATTATCCAGCATGATTGTGTATTTTAGATCAGATGAAGTAAAGCCAAGTGTTTTTTATGACTTCATGCACTGTTGGAGTGTGCACAAAGTAACGTATATAAAGGAATGAAGAACGACCAGACTAATCAGTGAGGTGGAAGTATAGTGTCTACACTTTGAAGGAGGGATGGGGATGTTGTATTTCAGGTCATTGGAACTGGGATGCCCACACACTTCTAGCCAACAACTACTGAATAAATTATGGTGAATGAAATTCCATCTTTGGGTCACCCTATAGTAAATGGTCAGTGTCAAAAGAAAAAAAAATTCTACAGTATACAGTGCTATTAAATTATCTTGAATACATAATTTTAATCTGTAGTTTTTAACATTTTCTTCAAAATTCACAATTTTCAAAAATCACTGTGCATTTTTTTTTAACACATCAACTGTCTCCCACAGAGAAAACGTGATCCAAAAAAAGAAACACTTTCACCATCATTCACACAATATCACTGTCTTTGCAGAGGTGCCCAGATATGAAAGTTGAGATGTCATTCCACACAGCCAATATCCCAACCCCTTCCTTTAAAGTACAGGCATTGTACTTACCATTTCCAGGACTCGAGTCCAGCTAACCAGTTTCCCTGAATCCCTTGACAAAATATTACCCTGCTCACACTCCAGCACCTTGTCAGGTCCAAAAAACCATTCGTCTCCATTCATTACTACATAACACGCTCATGCACGCTTGCTGGAAGTGCAAGCCCCTCATCCACTAAACCTTCTTTACCCCTCCCTCCAACCTTTTTGGGGATGACCCCTTATCCTGCCTTCCTTCCTTCTACAGATTTATACACTCTCCAAGTCATTCTACTTTGTTCCATTCTCTCTAAATGATCAAACCACCCAAACAGCCCCTCTCCAGTCTGCTGAATAATACTTTTAGTAGTAAATTTATAATCAATAAATTCAAAATTATATTAAAATAACTTCTCTGTCAGACCCGGGTCATTATCACTTAAGACTAGAAACTGGAGAGATAGGAAATGATCATGATGTATTGTATCAGCCACAATAAAAGGTAGCCAACCAAGATCAGCCAAGGAAAGTATCTGAGTGTCAGTCTGGCTGTCTGATATATACTTTTTTTTTTTTTTCCAACAAGTCGGCCGTCTCCCACCGAGGCAGGGTGACCCAAAAAAAGAAAGAAAATCCCCAAAAAGAAAATACTTTCATCATCATTCAACACTTTCACCACACTTACACATTATCACTGTTTTTGCAGAGGTGCTCAGAATACAACAGTTTACAAGCATATATGTATAAAGATACACAACATATCCCTCCAAACTGCCAATATCCCAAACCCCTCCTTTAAGAATGCAGGTATTGTACTTCCCATTTCCAGGACTCAAGTCCGACTATGTGAAAATAACCGGTTTCCCTGAATCCCTTCACTAAATATTACCCTGCTCACACTCCAACAGATCGTCAGGTCCCAAGTACCATTCGTCTCCATTCACTCCTATCTAACACGCTCACGCACGCTTGCTAGAAGTCCAAGCCCCTCGCCCACAAAACCTCCTTTACCCCCTCTCTCCAACCCTTTCGAGGATGACCCCTACCCCGCCTTCCTTCCCCTATAGATTTATATGCTTTCCGTGTTATTCTACTTTGATCTATTCTCTCTAAATGACCAAACCACCTCAACAACCCCACTTCTGCCCTCTGACTAATACTTTTATTAACTCCACACCTTTTCCTAATTTCCACACTCCGAATTTTCTGCATAATATTTACACCACACATTGCCCTTAGACAGGACATCTCCACTGCTTCCAACCGTCTCCTCGCTGCTGCATTTACACCCAAGCTTCACATCCATATAAGAGTGTTGGTACTATTATACTTTCATACATTCCCTTCTTTGCCTCCATAGATAACGTTTTTTGACTCCACATGTACCTCAACGCACCACTCGCCTTTTTTCCCTCATCATTTCTATGATTAACCTCATCCTTCATAAATCCGTCCGCCGACACTTCAACTCCCAAGTATCTGAAAACATTCACTTCTTCCATGCTCCTCCTCCCCAATTTGATATCCAATTTTTCTTTATCTAAATCATTTGATACCCTCATCACCTTACTCTTTTCTATGTTCACTTTCAACTTTCTACCTTTACACACATTCCCAAACTCATCCACTAACCTTTGCAATTTTTCTTTAGAATCTCCCATAAGCACAGTATCATCAGCAAAAAGTAACCGTGTCAATTCCCATTTTGAATTTGATTTCCCATTATTTAATCCCATCCCTCTCCCAAACACCCTAGCATTTACTTCTTTTACAACCCCATCTATAAATATATTAAACAACCATGGTGACATTACACATCCCTGTCTAAGACCTACTTATACTAGGAAGTAGTCTCCCTCTCTTCTACACACCCTAACCTGAGCCTCACTATCCTCATAAAAACTCTTTACAGCATTTAGTAACTTACCACCTATTCCATATACTTGCAACATCTGCCACATTGCTCCTCTATCCACTCTATCATATGCCTTTTCTAAATCCATAAATACAATAAAAACTTCCCTACCCATATCTAAATACTGTTCACATATATGCTTCAATGTAAACACTTGATCTACACATCCCCTACCCACTCTGAAACCTCTTTGCTCATCCGCAATCCTACATTCTGTCTTACCTCTAATTCTTTCAATTATAACCCTACCGTACACGTTTCCTGGTATACTCAGTAAACTTATTCCTCTATAATTTTTCCAGTCTCTTTTGTCCCCTTTCCCTTTATATAAAGGGACTATACATGCTCTCTGCCAATCCCTAGGTACCTTCCCCTCTTTCATACATTTATTAAACAAAAGTACCAACCACTCCAGCACTATATCCCCCCCTGCTTTTAACATTTCTGTCATGATCCCATCAGTTCCAGCTGCTTTACCCCCTTTCATTCTACATAATGCCTCGCGTACCTCCCCCACATTTACATTCTGCTCTTCTTCACTCCTAAAAGATAGTATACCTCCCTGGCCAGTGCATGAAATTACCACCTCCCTTTCTTCCTCAACATTTAAATGTTCCTCAAAATATTCTTGCCATCTACCTAATGCCTCCCTCTCCTCATCTACTAACTCCCCTACTCTGTTTTTAACTGACAAATCCATACTTTCCCTAGGCTTTCTTAACTTGTTTAACTCCAAAATTTTTTCTTATTTTCATTAAAATTTCTTGACAGTGCCTCTCCCACTCTATCATCTGCTCTCCTTTTGCACTCTCTCACCACTCTCTTCACCTTTCTTTTACTCTCCATATACTCTGCTCTTCTTATAACACTTCTGCTTTGTAAAAACCTCTCATAAGCTACCTTTTTCTCTTTTATCACACCCTTTACTTCATCATTCCACCAATCACTCCTCTTTCCTCCTGCCCCCACCCTCCTATTACCACAAACTTCTGCCCCACATTCTAATACTGCATTTTTAAAACTATTCCAACCCTCTTCAACCCCCCCACTACTCATCTTTGCACTAGCCCACCTTTCTGCCAATAGTCGCTTATATCTCACCCGAACTTCCTCCTCCCTTAGTTTATACATTTTCACCTCCCTCTTATTTGTTGTTGCCACCTTCTCCCTTTTCCCATCTACCTCTTACTCTAACTGTAGCTACAACTAAATAATGATCTGATTTATCAGTTGCCCCTCTATAAACATGTACATCCTGGAGCCTATCCATCAACCTTTTATCCACCAATACATAATCTAACAAACTACTTTCATTATGTGCTACATCATACCTTGTATATTCATTTATCCTCTTTTTCATAAAATATGTATTACTTATTACAAAATTTCTTTCTACACATAGCTCAATTAAAGGCTCCCCATTTACATTTACCCCTGGCACCCCAAATTTACCTACTACTCCCTCCATAACATTTTTACCCACTTTAGCATTGAAATCCCCAACCACCATTACTCTCACATTTGATTCAAAACTCCCCACGCATTCACTCAACATTTCCCAAAATCTCTCTCTCTCCTCTACACTTCTGTCTTCTCCAGGTGCATACACGCTTACTATAACCCACTTTTCACATCCAATCTTTATTTTACTCCACATAATCCTTGAATAAATACATTTATAGTCCCTCTTTTCCTGCCATAGCTTATCCTTCAACATTATTGCTACTCCTTCTTTAGCTCTAACTCTATTTGAAACCCCTGACCTAATCCCATTTATTCCTCTCCATTGAAACTCTCCCACCCCCTTCAGCTTTGTTTCACTTAAAGCCAGGACATCCAGCTTCTTCTCATTCATAACATCCACAATCATCTCTTTCTTATCATGGTGTTTCCTTTATCATGAATTCATTATTACAGACTAGCCACTAAGGGAAAAGGGGATGAAGTGAAAACAAGGGAAGTTCATTGGGACATAATGTACTCCTGGTGTAAGGTGCTGATGCTTAGGGAGTCGGGTGGGGGGAGTTAGGGAGTGTAACTAGTAACCATGTTTTCACCACTGCCAGACACTGGTCTTTGCCTTTTTTTTTCTTGTGCTCATGTGGAATATTTTCTGTACGTACTTTGCGTTAGCATTATTGTCGATATAAGAATAGTCCTATACATATATAATGCTCTATTTTCCCATCGCTTTGAGAATGATTTACCACCAGTCATCATAACCATTTCACAGTACTCCCTTTTTT